GGTTACGATAACTTCCATAACCTCTCCAATTAGTTTTCTCCAGAAAGCTGTAAGAATTTTCTTTTCTTTTCTTCTCTGTCTTAAACAGTTTCTGTTTTGATTAATTATTTATCCCTATTAATTTTCCCAGTATTTTAATTCTTCCATGGATTTTCTTCTTCAGACATCACTCTTCCCACATTCGACAAAGCATTCAAGAATCATCGTTCAATAAGTTTCCTATTTTCCTGGGGAATTTTTCTATCTCGAAAATTTCCCGGAAAAACTTGGCCTCACGTTGGAGTCTATAAAGAACATATTAACATGTCGCAGGACGTAATTTCGTCTCATGAACAGCTCTCGATGGTAATTTTCACTTTCTATATTAATTAGATGAAATTTTATTTCGCGCAATGTTATTTGTTTATCATTCAATTTGTTTTTTTTTTCTTACAACATCTTTGATTCTGTTTTACGCCCTTCGTTATTCTTTTATCTTATCAAAAACTCATTGATTCTCTTCAGAAATATATAAAAATATATTTTCTAATGTGTTATATACAAAATAGAGTCTATAACTCACACTTAAAAATTATGGAAAATCTTCATCATGAATATTTGAATCGATAATAGATTTGTCGCGGTTTTTTGTTTTCTTTTGATTTGTCGCGGTTTCATTGCGCATGAATATTTGTAAATTGTAAATACAATAGATAAACTCTCATTCGTATTCGTGTTTACAGTTTACAAACATAAAAATGATAAGAACACTGAAATCTATATTTTCACACTGTTTTAATATTTATATAACGCAAGCTTTAAATATATTCTTAAAATTCCTCACGTGAATCTTTATTAGAAAACTAAAGATTCTTGCTCTTGTTAAGGCCTTTAAATGTTGGTTTTAACTAGGCAAAGTTTTGATTTCTCGACGCAAAAGAAACACCAGAATCCAAAAACTTTCCTTCTATGGAAACTCTCCTTTCTTATCGTTAATTAAGCTCTTTATCTAGATTCCCTCTTGATAAAAACCACAGACAACGAACAAGATCTGATCATATAAATTGTCCACTTCTCTTTAAACGACTGTCTTAAGTTAAAACCAAACATTTAAGTACTCTGATTTATCGTTTCTTGTTTCGCAAGGAAACCCCCCACCACAAAGTAGCTTTTTATGCAATTCTTCAACGTATGTCTCAAGAAACAAATACATGTAAACATTTTACTATTTTGTTTCTTTTTCAGCTAAATCGATATCTTTTTGGTATTTTGTAGGATGAGATCACAAGCCCTCTCACCGCGCAAATCTTCGATTTCTGTGATCCACAATTGTTTCAAGAAACCTTTAATCAAGCTTCTGAAGTAACCTCTGCTTCAAACTGTGGCTATGTCGAAAACAACAACAACAACTTTACAGAAAAATCCAACAGTGGTTCGAATCAAGATCATGAAGACAACAACAACAATAACGCAGATTTATCGATCATTTTCGATTCACAAGATGATTTCGATAACGATATCACAGCTTCCATTGATTTCTCTTCATCTATTCAGTTCCCAGTCTCCGATCATCAACTCCAAGACCAGTTTGATTTCACCGGAATTCAACTTCATCAGCCTCCGAACATTCTCTACTCTTCTTCTTCCGGTGATCCTCTGCCTCCACCTTTATCGGTTTTTGAAGAAGATTGTCTTTCTTCTGTTCCAAGTTACAACCTTGGCTCCATAAACCCTACTTCCCCTTCTTGCTCTTTCTTGAGCAATCCCGGTTTACCAGCTTACATGTCCCTAACCGGGAATATAATGAACACCGGTTTAGCCTTTGAAAGATCTGGTTTTTACTCCGGTAGTCTCCAATTGGGTTCTGATTTCAAACCAACACATGATCAATTGATGGAAATCCAGGCTGACAATGGTGGAATGTTCTGTCAAGATTCGATTAAACCAATCTTGAATCCAGTAGATCATCAACTCCAGGTACAAATTTCATAACTTTCCCGGTTTATGTTATATGATCTTGATAAACTTTCGGTTCTGTAAACAAAATGAAACCGGTTTAATATCTGCATGTGATGCTGACCGGTTTTGTTTGGAAATAGGGACTAGACGGTGGCGAGAACCAGAACCACATGGCTGCACCGCCGGTTCTTCCACAGTTAGGGACGGAGATAACCGGTTTAGACGACGGGAGTTTCAACAAAGTAGGGAAACTCTCCGCAGAGCAAAGGAAAGAGAAGATTAGTAGGTACATGAAGAAGAGGAACGAGAGGAATTTTAGCAAGAAAATCAAGGTCTCTGTTATTAACCACCATAGCCGGATTAAACCGTTGGTTATCGATAAACCGATATATTTAATTTTATTTTTGTGTTTAAATAGTATGCATGTAGGAAGACACTTGCAGATAGTCGTCCAAGAGTTAGAGGAAGATTTGCAAAAAATGATGAATTTAGTGAACCAAATAGACAAGCTTCTTCAAGCCATCACGATGACGACGAGGATGATGTAAGATTAATCCGGTTCTATAATCAAAATGAATTTTTTTTTTGTCTAGTGTGATAAAATCGTTTCTGAACCGGGGTTTGGTTTGCAGATTGGGATTAAGGAAGAAGAACAATTGGTTGATTCTTCGGACATATTTTCACACATAAGTGGAGTGAACTCCTTCAAGTGCAATTATCCAATCCAATCTTGGATTTAATAAGTGGTTAATTACATGGTCTTGTGATTACACAAATAGTATTATTTTTTTAATTATAGAGGTCTACTTGTATATTTATTAGTGCATTTTTGGCCATGACTCATGTTTCGTCGGAGATATTTAGAACGCAAGAAAAAAGAAGAGATGAATAATGGGTTTAGGCAGGTCATTATGAATAAATTTGTAGTGAGGGAGGAGAATGTTTAAGTTACATAGAACATTACAAAATTTTG